AAAACACTAGAAGTAGTGCGCAGTTCTACAGGGTGCTTACTTGGCATTTACAGCGCTGTCCTGGGCATATTTAGGTATATAACTTATGAATAGTAATAACAATAACAATATTAACAGCAACAAGAAAGAACACTTCGAGAATACTGTGTGCTAGGCACTGCGCTCAGCACTTTTAAGCTTGTAACTTATTGAACAGAAATAGCAATCATTGTGTTACATCAAAAGCAACCAGAAGTAACATCTTTTGTCACACTTGCCATGTGCACATACTGCTCAAAATATTTCGAAGGATATGAACACATTTGGGCCAAGTGCTCTGTGGACTTATGTCACCCCTGCTTAGAGCTCTCCAACGATGTCCCCAAATTAAAGCCTGAGTCCTCCTTACAGCCTTCTGCACAACCTGCCCCCGTCCCCTTCCTGCTGCCACCTCCTCCTTCTCTCCCCCTCCTCACCCTTCTCCAGCCACACACACTTCCTCATTGTTTCTCCATTACATGAGGCATGGTCTTGCCTCAGGGCCTTTGCTCGGGCTGTGCCTGGAATGCCCTTCCACCAAATGGTGCATGGTTCACACCTTCCATCTCTCATTACTCTCTCTGGACAGACCTGATCTACAATCGTTCAGCCACTATTACCTCCTTGCCCAAGCTTCCTTTTCCCTTCATAGCAAGTTATACTCATTTTAATTTAATTTAATTCTAATTTGCTATATATTTACCTGTTTATGGATAAACCACATAGCTCTGTCAAGGTGCCAGGCTCTGTGCTAAGGGCTTGGCATTCATGAACTCATTCAATCCACATAACAAATGCCTGGGTGGTGGCTACAAACAAATCAACTAGACATTTTAGATTGTGATAAAAGCCATGAAGGAAACAGAAGTGGAGGGATGGCTTTAAGAGGTAAATTCAGGGAAGGCTTAGAGAGGATGGCCTTTGAGCTAAGATGAGACTGGAGCAGCATGTGCAAAGGCCCTGAGGCAGGAAACCACGTGACATGTTGGAAGAACAGGGAGACCAGTGGCTGTAGCAAAGAGAGCATCACACTGAGCCAGTGGGGGCAGCCTAGGGACCTTTATTTTAATTTTTAATTTATTTTCTTTATTTTTATTTTAAAACAAAGATGGGATCGGTAATGGTGCCATGCTGAACCAAAGGAAAATTCAGTCATTCTGATTCTATTTAAAACGTTGACATTTTGTGCACCGTGGATTTTTTTTGGCATTAATTTTAGTTTTTGAAAATCACTGCATTAAAGTATTCTTTACCTTGATGATGGCGTTTTTGGTGCCCCCTTAAACCTTGCTCCCTAGGCAAGCTCATGCAGGTCCCTGCCCATTCCTCGCAGCAGGTGTGAGAGGGAAGTACTGTTCCTGTATCCACTTCACAATGGGGGAAACTGAGGTCCAAAGAAGTCAAGTCATTTGGGCAAGGTCACACAGGGAGAGTGCTGGGATTTGGACCCAGGTGGCCAGAATCTGGAGTACACACACTTCCCATAAGCCCACACGGTCTTCCCCACACTTTAGACAGCCAAGCCTCGGTTTCTTCATTTGCCAAGTGAAACTAAAGAGTGAATAGGGTGAAGCCCTTGGCATGGATTCAGTGAGCTCATGGGTGCGGTCAGCACAGCCCCTGGGATGTATTTAGTGATAAACAAATGGCTGTCATGACTATTACCGGCAGCTGCCTGCCCACCCCCAGACAGAAGCAGGATGTCAGGACTGGCTGAGGAACGGAGCTCGGGTGAGGGGTCTTAGAGCATTCCACCCCTTGGCCCTGTTCAGCCCCTGGTTCTCGGCTCAGCCCCAGGCTGGGCTGGTGGAACTGGGCAGGAGGCAGGCTCTGTCTCCATGGAGACCTGAGCAGGATGCTTGAAGTCCTGTGGCCCTCTGATGTGCCGGGAGAGCCATTTAATAGAATAAAAATGAAGCCCCGCCAGCTCTCCTGCAAGTCAAAGATGCTTTTTTCTCAGACTCTTTCTTCCACCTGAGGTAGAAGAGCCCAGTCTAGCTTGAGTCTGACCCCTGGGAGCTAAAATTCAGCATTCCACCTCCTAAACAATACTCACCCTGGAGTTTATTCCCTGACACACCTCAGCTGTATCAGGGATGGGTCAAAGCAGAGAAAACTGAGGCTGTGCGCCTGAAAGCATTTGGAGCCCTCAAGGCCGACTCTCTGATTTATTATTAGCCAGAGGAGAGCTGGTCACATCGGCATCATGGCAGGAGGTCCATGGTTTGGGCTGTGACTTAAAAGGCAGTGAAAGTGGGAACAGAGCCTATCGGGGGATCCGGGGCTGGGAAGTGTCTGGCAGGTTGCCTGGCTCTCTGGATCGTGCTTCATAAACTTGCCCCAGGGCCTTTGCACTTGCTTAGTGTCTATCTCCCAGCACAGGGTTTCTCAAAATAATTACACAAACTTATATAAATTTATCTTAACGGAAAGCTGTCTGCTTGCAGGGAGGTGGCACTGCGGGGAGATGGGGTCAGTGAGTGGGGCTGGGGGCCTGGTCTGGAGCTGCCCTGCGCCAGTGGCCTCTGCATCACCCCCACAGCCAGCTGCCTGGTCCCCAGCCGCAAACACCACTGTCCCCTCTGGTCCCCAGGTGGTGCCAGGTGTGGGTGGGACACCCTTGCGTCCTGGCCACAGATGGAGACGTTTTCCCAGCCCCTGGGAGCCATGCTTCCCGTATTGGCCTACCCACTCCCCCCGCAATTTCCGCTGAAACTTCTGTAGGTCAAAAGGCGATTCCAATCATTGATGACTCTCAGATCTGACAATAAAATGTTGAAAGAAGCCAAGGACATGTGTCCCCTGCAAAAGGTCCACAGAGCCACTCTGCTCTGGTAGCGGCCAAAGGTTTCCCACAATGGAAAGGAGAGAAAGAAGAGGGCAGACTGGGGGCCGCAGACTTTCCCTGGAAAGAGCCGAACGGTAAGCACTGGGGGTTGGTGGGCCCTACAGTGAGAAAGCAGCAGTGGACGAGACACATTTGGGGGGGGGGTGTGGCCGTGTGCCAATAAAGATTTATTTACAAAGATAAACCATGGGCCGGACTTGGCCACAGGCCATGGTTCACTGACCCCTGCTTAAACACACTCCTCCTGGTGCTCCAAGAAGCGCCTACAGGGGCTTGCGATGGTGTGTCCATCAGCAGGGCACCAGGTGGGTAAGCTGTGGTACCTTCTGAGGACAGAATACTACACAGCAGGGAAAAGGAGTGGGTGCATGTGAGAGGAAGACGTGCAAGCAAGAGCTAGCGTAAGAGAAGGACAGCAGGATCCGACTGTATGAGATATTGAGGCCACACACAAAGCAACGGCGAAACCTGTCCACAAACGCACCATCGTGCCTGTCAACACTGTTTAAAGAACAGGAAAGTTCTGGACAGTGGGTGAGGCCTCTGTGCAGCGGGGGAGAGACCAAGCGCCTTCACAGGACGTTTGCCTGCATTTTGTAGCCTTAAAACAAAGACCTCCTGGGACGAGATCTTAGACACCAGATGCCACTCCCTTGGGGTCCCTGTAGGGAATGCAGTGCCCTAACCAAAGGACATCTTTGCCCAAATCGTTGGTACTGCCCAGATGGACCTAGGGCACTGAGGGAGCCCACGGGACGGGGGTCACCTTCATAACTGTCCTCCGGGAGCCTGTGATATCTCTACAGCCCTCTCCTCCTCTGCCCACCCCTCCCAGTTCCCCATCACGCAGAGCAGAATGCAAACATCTCACCAATGCCCTGGGGGCCCTCGTGCCCCCCTCCCTCCGCCTCGGTCCCTCTGCTCCAGCCACACCAGGCGTCCTCTCTGGTCCTGCAACACTCCAGGCCAGGTCCTGCCCCAGGGCCTTTGCACAGGCCAAGCCCTCTGCCTGGAATACTGTCCCCGATTTCCACATGGCTAAGTCCTTCCTGTCACTCCAATTTGACTCAAAAGCACCCTCACTGCCCACCTGGGGGTAATTTTTACTCATTACCCATCTTTCCTAGTGGCCCGCCAACCCCAGGGTCTCTCTTTGGCACTGCGTCCCCAAGCCCAGCACGGTACCTGGCACGCGGTGGGGCAGGGGGTGGAGAAATACTGGCTGTCCCCACAGTTGGATGAGAGTGATCCACGGTGGTGTGGTCAGCGGGTGCCTGGGGACAGGAGGGGTGCACGGAGGGGTGGCAAAGGGGAGCCAGGGAGTGTTCAGGTGACATGCCACCTCTCGCCTTGGCTACGGCATCGCCAGTGCAGACGTTCCCCCAACCCCTGCAGCCCGTCCATGGCGCCCACAGAGAGAAACATTTCAACAGCTCTTAGACGCAAATCTTGCTTCCAGCTTCCGTGCACATGCATGTGCACACACCCCACGCCCGGGAACGGGGTGCGGAAGCTCTGTACGTAGATGGTGGCTGCCGGCCCCGAGGTTTCGTGGAAAAGGAGACATTAGTCCGTGTCGAACGAGATGAGGGAGGCTTTTCCCAAGACGTGGGGAGCTTTACCTGAGGCTGTGCTGGGGCCAGAGCCTCCTTCCAGCCTCCAGGGGGATCGGAGGGTAGGACAGGAGGAAGGTCTGAGGGGCTTTGGCCCTGACCCTGGGGACAGGAATCGCTGAGGAAATCCCAGCAGCACCCCTCAGGGTCCAGCCCACACCCAGGTTCCACAAACACTGCTCTAGCCCCTCCTCAGTGCTCGGAGAACCCAGCGCACTCTTCCCCTCCTAAGCGCCCCTGCCAGTACAGTCCCCTGCACCCTGCACCCTCAGCTCCCGCCCTCGCCCTGACAGCCCGTCCTCCCCGCAGTGGCCTCCGGTGACCATGGGCACCCAAGTCAGGCCCTGCCTTCTGCCTTCAACCCTCCAGGGCTCCCACCTCCCTCAAGGAAAGGCTCTCGCAGCCCCCTTCCAGGTTGCACCCCCAGCACTGCCCACCTCCCTCGTGGCTGGTGTCCTCCTCCACCCGGAACCCAAACGCCCGAAGGCAGGGACTGCCCGGGATGAGCCCTGGCATTGCAGAGCCTGACACAGCTGCACTTGAAGGACACCTGCGGGTGGCTGGGAACTGGGCGGGCCAGGCAGAAGCCAAGAGGGCAAACTGCAAACTGGGGTCTGCCTCACAAAGCCAGTGCCTCTGACCGCGTGACCGACCCCAGAGCGGTGCTGACCGGGGACCCGCTCTGGGGCTGGCACTGGGCCAGGAGGCTGGGTGTGGCCTTCATGTGGCCACTGCCCCACCCAACTCCCCACTGGGTTGAATGGCGTCCCCCCAAATCCCTGTCCAGAATTTCAGAACGTGGCCTTATGTGGAACAGGACCTTTGCAGATATAATGAAATGGCATGAGGTCTACCCTGGAGTGGGATGAGCCCTAAAGCCAACAACTGGTGTCTTTCCGGCCAGGACACACGAGAATGGCCCAGTGAGGACAGGCGGAGACGGGGACCAGCAGAGGCTGAAGGCTGGGAGAGATGGGCCTTCCTCCCTCACAGCCTCAGACGAGCCAACCTGGCCTTGATCTTGGACCTCAGGCCTCCAGAGCAAGGGAACAACACATTTCTGCTGTCTTAAAGGCACCAAGTTAGTGGGGTGAACAAGTCCCACTGCCCCACTGTCCATCAGCTCATGAACTGGTTTTCAGCCCCACTTTGCAGGGGGGCAGGAAGGACACCCCTCCCCCAGGTCCCCAGGAACACAAAGCACCGTCCGGTGGGCTCACCAAACCCTGAGGCCCCAGTCCCCCGACAGGACACGGGAGGCTGTCGTTCATATGGCTTTATTTCTGATCATCCGGCTGCGCCCCATGACCAGCCTGAACTCTGACTGATCAGCGGTCCTGACCCGCCCTGGGGAAGGGGAGGAATGACTTGCGCTCCGAACGCTCCCGCCAGCACATCCACTGGCTCACACACTCACATGCTGCGGGAGGATGCGCAGACTCCGGCCCCGCGTCCGCCCCAGAGGTGGCCAGGCACGCGGTAAATAGTCTCTGGAGGAGACGAGCCACCCAGTGGCGGCAGGGGGAGGAGGCAGAGGAGGACCTGCAGCCTCCATGCCTGCCCCTCTCCCAGGCCCCATCAGCTCAGCTGGGAGTCACGGCCCCAGGGAGCCCGTTCCCTCCAGTGAGCAGCGAGCCAGTCGGCTGCCTGCCCCCACAGGCCCCTCAGGACTGGAAGGTGGGCGAGACCTCTCTGGTGGCCGGAGGAGGCAGGTGCCAGGCCCGCCCGGGAGTCCCTCCTCCCGGACACTGGGCCCCAGCACTTACCACTTGACTGAGTATATTGCTAATGAATCGGTACACCTGGGTCTCCCTGAGGTCGGTCCCACCCCCCTCTCCCCTCCCCAGCGAGGGGCTCATGCCCCACAAGGTGCCTGGTTTGTGGGGCTCAGGCCCAGACCTGCCCCCACCGGGTTCTGGGAAGAGCTGCGCCCGCAGTCACTCCTCTCTTGACCCCCAACCTGGACATCCCTCCAGGGATGTGGGGGCACCCACTCCCCCCAAACACATCCTCCTCCTTACAGGTAAGGAAACTGAGGACCAGAGAAAGGAGCAGAGGGGCCACCTCTCCACCCTGGGGACTCTGCAGGCACCCATCCCGGGGACAGGCTGAGGGCGGAGCGTAGAGAGCCCGGGCAGGGAGGAGACAGCTGGGGGAGCGGCGGGCCCCACAGGGTGGCGTGGGGCAGAGGTGGCAAGAAGCAGGGTGAGCAGTGTGAGGGCCGGACTGGGAGGTGGGAGGCTGGAGGCAGGGAGGTTGCCGGGTCTTCAGGGCGGTCCCATCACAAGGCTGCCCTGAGCTGGCTGCCTCCTCCCGGCTGGGGTTTGGGCACAAGGCTTCCAAGGGAAGGGCTGGAACCCAGAGACCCAGAGGCGGAGGTGCTGTCTCCAGGCAGGAGGGAGGGGGTATCCGAGTCACTTGAGGGGTGGGGACGGTGTCAAGGTCAGACCACTCGGTCCGCGGCCAGCGTCACAGCCATGGGTCACGCCGTGGCTGCACTGGGCCTGTCCCCTCTTTTCCTTGAGTGGTTTGCACGCCCTGAGGGCCGTGGGGCCAACTCCGGGGCCAGGAGCTCGTCCATGCGCTTGTCCCCAAGTCCATGGCCTGGCCCCAGACCGCCACTGATGCTCCTCCAAGGGAGCTTGAGGGACAAAAATGAGAAAGCAGCCCCCAGATCCTTAAGAGCAACACAGAAAAGCTCTGTAATTCAGGGTTGCAGCCGCCCAGGGGGTGCGGCCCCGCCTCCTGCTGGCGCTGAGCGGGGAAGAGCGGGGAGGGCCGCGGCCAGAGGTCACTGTGTCTTGGCCTTCAGCAGTCTCTGAACACTTTTGTACAGGAGGTCGAAGTGCTGGGGGCAGCAGGAGGGCTCTGGTGAGGTCGGGGACAGTCCCACCCAAGGGCCGCCTGTGGGGTCTCCTGCAAGGACTGGCTGGCCAAGTGGACCCTCCCCGGGCGTCTCGCCTCCCCCAAGACCCACCTCCGCTCACCTGGACTGCCGTGTAGGCCATCCCGAGGTAGGCGCTGATGCAGACGGCCAGGAGCAGGTCGAAGATGGCTGGCTTGACCCTGCGGAGAGACGAGGTGGGGGGTGGGGGTGGCGGGGTCAGTCAATCAGCTGGCCCCCCACCCCGCTGTGCCCATGGAGCCAGCCCCTGGGCCAGACTCAGCCTCACCTGTAGGCGTTCATCACCTGTTTCAGCTGGTCGTAGAAGACAAACTCAGGGTCCCTGGAAGAGAGTGCTTTCTCAGTGGGCGCACCCAGCCAGGCTCCCTGGAGGTCCCACCAGCCCAGGAACACGGAGGTGCAGGGGGCACCCGTGTGTGTGTCTGCTCAAGGCTGACACTGTCCCTCAGAAAGAACAACGGTCCTTTACTCTGAAAAATGCCTTTCCTGTTGATTTTGGGGGCGTCAAATGTATTCTCTCAAAATGAAGTGTGGTAACTGGAAGTTTTACTGGTCTAGGAAGCATTTCTATAGAGGGAGAGTGACCACAGCCTAGAAATCAGAGACTCCAACTCCACAACTATGGGTCCACTCTGAGCCTCAGTTTCCTCTTCTGTTTAAAAGCTGGGTGTCTTCAGAGAGCCATGAGTTGGGAGACAGGTGGAGGGAGAGCCAGCGAGGGGCATGAAGCTGCCTGGGTGGGGGCCTCCTGCCTGTGGATGCCACAGACACCCACTCCACTCGGCCTGACTGGGGAGCCTGGGAGCATCAAACAAAAAAGACCAAACCCAGGGGGCCTGCAGTGAGGAAGAGCATCCCGAGGGCAGGAGGGGGCCTGGGGAAGGAGTCGCCTGAGGCCCAGAGCACAGATGGACCAGAGGGTGGGCGGGGGTACAGGGCTGCCAGACGCAACCCTGGACTGTGGTTCCACGGGGACTGCAGATAAAGAAGAAGCGTGCTTTCGGGGTAAGTACGTCCCGAACGCTGCCCGGGACAGACTTCTACTGTGACAATCCGCCGTCCACCTGGAACTCGGGTTGAACGGGGCCCCCGTAGCCCTCACTCATCGTGTTCCTTCTCGTTTCTCTCTGCTCAATCTGGGCCCGGCAGGGAGGCCAGAGGACCCGCGGGCTGGCGAGCAGGCCCAGGCGGGGCGCGTCCGGGCCTCACCGCTTGTCAGCCTTGATGTGGTGCTGCTTCACCTCCTTCAGGTAGCGGCTCAGGTAGTGCTCCAGCGTGCTGAGGAACGTGCCGTCCTTGTCCACCAGCTGCGCGGCCCGGGGCTGGTTGGTGAGCCAGTCCATCACCGAGTCCAGCTGCTCCTGCTGGATCTGCTGCGGGGACGCGGCCATGGTCTCGGGGCCCTGTCCTCGCGCGCCGCGCTGCCCCGCCCCGCCCCGCCCGGCCTGCCCGTTACCATCTGCTCCGTGAAGACCGGCATGTCCGGGGGGGTGCCCTGTGGAGAGAGGAGGGCACAGGCCTGAGCCCAGAGCCGCGGTGCCGGGGCGGGGGCGGGTGGGCGGGAGGTTGGGGGCAGGCTCACCTTCTCCGTCAGGTTGTAGATGACGCGGGTCAGGGCCTCTGCGATGAGCCTTGTGTTTCGGGTCAGGGTTTTAGAGTCAACCCGGGACCTTGGAGGGCAGATGTAAAACATACGTATTTGGAACCGGCATCGTCTATAACCACCAGAAACCAAGAATGATCACACATCTGGTGATAAAAACAAGGACAGGAGCCGCCCCCACCAGGGACGGGCGCCCCCGCCGCCGGGTGGTCTCCAGGCCAGGCCTCAACCTCCCTGGGGCTACTCTGCACCCCAGTCCTGAAGACACGACTCTGGGCCTGTTTCCTCCTCTGGAACTTGGGGGGGTCAGAGCGCCCTCCTCCACAGGCCGTCCAGGGCGGAGCTGACGGAACACCCTCGGGGGGGGGTACAGTATCCCGCCAAATTCACAGCCGCTTAGAACCTGGGCTGTGACCCGACTTGGAAGGAGGGTCGCTGCAGACCTGGTTAGTCATAAGGTCACAGCGGAGCAGGGGCCCTAAGTCCAATGGCTGGTGTCCTCATAAGCAGAGGGGAATGTGGACTCAGGCCAAGCACAGGGAGAGGCCACAAGCCAGGGACACCAAGGACTGCTGGCAACACACAGAACGTTGAGGAGGAGCTTCGAAGGCAACACACCCCGACCCGAGTGGGTATGAGGTGCAGGCTGCCCGGGGAGGCAGGGTGAGGGGGCGTCTGGCCCATTATCCCAGTCCCCTGCTTCCCCCAGCTCTTCTCTGCTCTTGGCTCCCTCTGCCGTGCAACAACCTTCTCCTGGTTCAGGCCCTTCAGTCTGGCACCACCTCCTCCAGGAAGCCTCCTGGATGCCTGCCCCGACAGCAGCCACCTTCTCACCACCCCTGCAGCGGACATGGGTCCAGTTCCTGGGCGTGGGCACAGGTGACAGGAGTTGCAGAGGCTCAGTCTCAGTGGAGGGCCGGGGTGGGTGGCGCTCACCGCACGTCCATGATGCTGCTGCGCTGGCCATCACGGTGGCTCTCCAGGTGGGACAGGGTGAAGGCAGGCAGCCGGCGGATGGCGAAGCGCTCGTGCTCCCAGGCCAGGATGTCCTCCGCCAGGTTGATCTTCTTGTGCACCATGGAAAACCGCACCTCCGGGAACTGGTGGGTAGCCACCTGCGAGGGGCACCGTCAGGGTCTGCCCGGTGACGGCCCCTCCAGTCTCTGCGGAGGTGGCCCCTCGTGCCTGGGGAGCCTCAAGTCCCTCCCTGAACCTCTGCTCTGGAACTCGGGGAGAACCCCGCCTGAGGCTCACGCGAGGCCCCAGGGTTGGCAAAGGTCCTGGTGACGTGTGATGGAGGGGCGGGTGTTCCAGCCGAGCCCCCTACTGTGAAAGGGGCCTGGCCAGGACATTACCGTCTCAAGCTCCCGCAGGAAGGCGTGTTGCAGCGTCCCCTCCCTGGGTGGCTTGGACACATGCAGGTGCAGGCTGTCCCCCCGGCCCACGGTGTCCAGGCAGAGGACGAAGGCCACGTTGTCCTGCAGCAGGCTGGAATCTGAGGGCAGCAAGGGCTGGGAAGCAGGACAGGAACCAGGCCCTGCCTCCCTGGGGCCCCCTCACCGCCAAGGCCTCACCTGTGTGGTCCAGGTTGTCTTCCAACCAGCGCTTGGTGCCCTGGTAGTTGAACTTTCCTCCTCCGGAAGCAAAGAATAGGAGGTTGTACCTGGTGCGGGAGAAGCAGGGCGTCAGCGCTGACAGGAGAGTCCAGGCCCCCGATAAGGAGGTGGTCTCCCCGACCCCGGCCCTGCTGACACTGGGGCATCCTGGGCACGGCGGAGTCTGGGCAGCATCCCTGGGTGCACCCATTCAAGGCCAAAAAAGCTCTCTACCTCCCAGTCATAACCACCACAATGTCCCCAGACATCACCCAGTGTCCCCTGGGGGCAGAGCCACCCCTTGAGTGAGAAGCATGGGTCCAGAGGCCTCCCTGAGCTCTTGAGACCAGGAGGGACGAGGTGGACTGATCAGGAAACAGACCCGGAAGATAAAAAGTGACAGAAGCCTGGTGGAGGGAAGCAGCTTGGTGGTGGAGCACATGCTTAGCATGCTCAAGGTCCTGGGTTCTACCCCCAGTACCTCCATTTAAAAAAAAAGGGTGACAGGAACTCAGCACTGCCTCCTTGGAGCGGAACTGAAGCCATGGGCCAGAGATGCTGTGAAGGACCAGGTCCCTGTGCCCCACCCCCATCCACCCCACCAGGGCCACAGTGGTCCTTATAGGAGGAGACACACGAGGAAGAGACCACATGGGGGTGTAGCCAGGGAACTCTGTCACTGCTGGAAGCCAGCAGACGTTGAAGAGGCATGAAAGACCCTCCCCCAGAGACTCGGGAGGGGGTGTGGCCCTGCCAACACCTGAATCTCGCTTCCAGTTTCCAGGATGGGACGCCTGCTGTGTGTGTGGCTCGGTAGAGTCACTCCCGGGGAGATGTGCACCGTCACTGGGCCCCTGCCATCGGGCCAAGCAGACAAGCACCCCCGAGAGTGACCAGCTGGGTCCTGGGCTGAGATGGGGGTCTCCAGTTTAAGTGACCGTTTCCCGGGTGTCTGTTACTTGCAGCTGGAAGCACTCCCAGCCCAGCCTGGGACGTGGGATTCCAGAGGGTTGATCAGCCCTCAACCAACAGACAGGTGATTCCCAGGGTTGGCACCGCCTCCGGGCCGCAAGGCCCAAGCAGCGCCTGGCGTGAGCGAGCCTTGTACCCCGGGCCCCGGCGGCCGTGACTTACGCGGCATGGGTGCGCTTGTAGGTGTAGAGCCTGGAGAAGAGCCGGGCGAGTTCCAGCAGCACAGAGATGCCGCTCCCGTTGGAGTCCGCACCGTGCGACAGCCACTGCGGGCAGACAAGACGAGGCCGGCGCTCGCCACATCCACACGCAGCGCCTCCTGGGCCCCACCCGGCCCCGTCGCCCAGCACGCGGCTAGGACTGCTACCCCCGCGGCTCAGACCCCAGCCTGATGGCCCAGTGCCAGGGCACGCGGGTCCCCTCCCTCACGACTGCCCCGTGCCCCGGGGAAGCTCTGTGCACAGCCTGGAGCTGGGGCCGGCAGGTCACGCAGCCACCAGCCTCGACATCGGCCCTGGGACCCTGGTGCCCCTATGATGGGGGCTTCCCTACAGCCTCAGGCCACCCCCAACACATGAAAGACCCCGACATGTCTGAGGCCCACAGTCTAAGACAACGTTCCCGATGGAGCAACAATCAGTTTTTGGAGAAGAAAGTTGGGTTGTTCCCATGGCTTGGGGCCCTCCCACGGTCACAGTGGGTAAACTGACGTGTAATGGCCCTGAAGTTCACGGGGAAGTTCACAGGGAGGGGGCAATACCGTGCTCAGTGAGAGAAGTAGCTATGTGATGCCACGGATGTGAAACGTGCACAACAGGCCAGTCCAGACACAGAGAGGGGCTCCCGGCTGTCGGGCAGGGGTGAGTGGAGGGGGTGGGGTTTATTTTGGGGGTGATGGAATAAATGTTACAGAAGTAGACAGTGGTTATGTCTACGCAACTTGGTGAATGTACTACGAGATGCTAAACTGCATGATTTAAAAGGATGAATTTTGTCATGGGAATTATGTCTAAAAAAATTTAAGAAAATTTCAGAAAGGCCCCGTGGGGTGGATGATGAGCAGGAGAGAACATGGTTCCAGGCTGACAGTCCAGGGCCGAGCTCTGCACCCTGGCTGGTCCCAGCACCCCCGAGGACGGCATGGCCAGGCTCCGGCCAGGCCGCAGGCCCGCCCACGCCACTCTGGTTCAGCTGGCCGTTGGTTCTCTGGCGTGAACCTCCCTGTCCCGGGGACTCAGGGAGCACAGCCCGGAGGAGACTGGACACAAGAGCTCGCACTGGGGGCCTGAGGCCACATGCCGGGAAGGCTGCTCCCCAGGCCAGCTCCCACCACCCCGCTGACGAGGTTCCTGTCCCTGCACCGTCTTTGCAAACACGGGGTCTGCAGGGGCACCCACTCTTCTCCTGGAGCCTGGGGTCTTGGACGGAGGCACCTGTGTGACACCCCAGCTAGAGCCCAGGGCTGTGTCATGAGCCCCCAGGGACCGCCTCTCACTCCCGCTGTCATGTCTCGTTTGGGGGAGTGAAGCTGCAGGATGACACCCACCCCGCGGGGTATCCACAGGGACCCAAGAGAGGATGCAGAGCTGCGTCTGCCCCGGACAGGGGAGGGCACACGTACCGGGGCCACCCCGAAGGCGTCGTAGTGGGCCACAATGACGATGGTGGGCAGGTCCTCTCCACCCAGCCCAGTCAGCCGCCCCTGCAGACACACAGGTGTAAAGGGCCACCAGCCAGACAGTGGGCTGCCCGCCCCCACCTGACAGCAGCGCCCTTGCTTTTGCCGGCTCCACTGTGGACATGTGCGGACAAGTGGGCGGGACTGCATGCTAATAAAACTTTATTTACAGAGACCAGCGGAGGCCAGACTTGGCTCAGGGCTGCAGTGCCAACCAGGCTTTTCCACCCAGGAACCAGACCCACCCTTCAAAGGCTGAGCTCTGCTGCCAGGAGAAAGGGCGCGGTCAGAGGAGTGCAGAACAGCCCCGCAGGGTCCAGGTCCGGCGCCCTGGCCAGGGTCCTCACACGGCAGGCTGAGCTGAGGTCTGGGAGCCCCCTTCCCACGTGCCCTGCTGGGCACTCACCTCCACGCTGGTGATGAGCCAGTCACTCACGGCCTTGCTCTGGACCCCGCTGGTGACCATCTGGAAGCCGTTGGCGGTGGCGGTGTGTAGCAGCACTGAGGACAGGGAAGGGAGGGTCAGCCCAAGCCTGCGGTTCCTGGCCCAGAGCCGCATCCTTGCTGCCCCTACACCCTAGGTCCTAGGAGTGCGGTCTGAGCAAAAGCATAACTGAACACACGGACTGGACACGGGGAAGAACTCGGGGGTAAAGGATGAGAGCTGGTGGAGTGGTCACCCCGCCTGCACGCAGGCTGCTGAGGGGTGTGTGGGCGGCCCTCTCGTTCTAAAATCACAGAGGCGCACACAAGACCTCTGGCCCGGCCTCCCAAGGATCAATTCAGCCACGACCTCAGAACAGAAGTTTCCCGCCTGGTGGTCCACGACGCTCCAGCCCAGCCCCGAAAGCAGACACGGCTTGCTCAGTGTGAGCGAGTAGCCCACCGGGGGTGTCATCTTCTCACGCCTGTGAGCTTATCCTGTCTCAAGCCCTCCCGTTCTTTACACGTTTAAAACCACAATCGTAAGGGGCGTGGAAGAGGTCACCCCTGGGGGGAAGCTGGGAGTAGGGCGCCCCTCAGGAAGTGTGCTGTCTTTGCGACTTCTATAGCTTAAGGTGTTCCAAAACAAAGGTGCTATTGCTAAGCATGGTGACTGAGATTTATGATTTTATATTTTGCTTCTTCCACTAACCGAGGTGAAATAAACTTTCCCACGCCACTAAAAGTTCTACCCTGATGTCATTTTGAGGGCTGCATAATATTCCACTGGGTAGCTGATTCTACTCACCTTCTACTCTAACTAGAAATCTAGGTCTTTCCAAAAACTCATTCTCCTGTTGCCACAGTGCAGGTGGCTGTCCTCCAGACTTGAATCTAGCCCAGGGGTTGGCAAACTTTTCCTGTAAAGGGCCAGTTGGTATTTCCAGCTCTGTGGGCCAGATGGTCTGTCACAGCCACTCAACTCTGCTGTTGCAGCATGAAAGTCCCTGTAAACCACATGTAAACGTTGGCTGTGTGCCAGTAAAACTTCATTTACGTGAAGAGGCAGCTGCAGGCCATGGTTTGCCAACCCCCAGTCCAGCATCCACAGCTAATAACCTGGCCAGGAAACATGAACCTTCATTTACAGCTCAAATACATGTGGACATACTGTTTCCCCAAGGCACTGGTCCGAGTTCACCCCTCGGAACCCATTGCTTGGACACACTTGCCTGCCCCCCTGCTCCCGTGGGCTCTGAGGACTCATTTCCTCTTCCTGAACCCACTGTTTGAGCCTCTCAGCCCATTCCTTTGGCTACTTTCGCCAGCTCACTCTGACAGCGGCCCACTCCCCACCACTCCTGAGACGGGTCAAACTACAGAGCTCCTGGCCCCCAAGCCCACTGCGGCGTCCCCCAGCCCACAGGTAGGGGGAACCGTGTTATCCCAGAGTGTCGCTGACCCACCCTGACCTATGTAAGCAAGCCAGTGACAAGTGACACCAAGAATTTACTTGGGAGGAAGAAGGGACACAGAAAACCACACAGATGCCTGTACATTCCCCAAACCATCCAGAGGCTGGAGATGGGAAATATGTCCCTCCAAATCAGCAGGTCTCCAGCACGGGAAAGGGTGGTGGGCGGGGCTGGGGCTGAAACACACAGCTGTGACATGGCAGCTGTGGGGTGCCTGGTGCCTCCACCACGAATGAAGAGGGACTGATGCCACACCCTCCCGCTGAGGCATGTTCCCAAATCTGCACAGAGTGGCCTTGGTGGATCGGGAGCCCCTGGGTTGCCCCCCGCCCCTGCAGCCCGAGCCCACCTTCGGCGGCCGAGGCGGAGCCCTGGGAGGCAGACGCGGCCTGCGTCTGCTCATAGATGGAGAGCAGGGCGTCATCCTCCACGGCGAAGTACACAGGAACAATGGTCTCCATGGCCAGCATCTCGGGCTCAATCTCCATGAATTGCTGTGAGAAAGACACACATTCAGGGGACTTCTGGCTTGGGAGAGGGGGACCCCAGACGTGGACGCAGGGATGGGCGAGGCCTGGTGATGCTCATGGTTCCGGTGGGGAGGAAGCAGGTTGGGAGAACAGGCTGTGTGGAGGGCTGGCTGGGGTCAGATCCCACGCCCACTGGCCATCACATCCTCAGTGGTACGTGGGTGCTGGTAGGGACCTGCAGAGACAGTGGGCGTGAACCCCCCTGCACTGAGGGGCCTCCCTGGCCCCACACCCCTGCTCATCTGCAAGAGCACCTCCACCCACAGTGCCCTGTGGGGCCCTACCAGATCCCATAAGTTCAAAGCAGCTCTCTCCCGCTCGGCACTGCTGATAGGGGGCTGGGTCCTCCTCTGCGGGCGTCCTGGACACTGGGCTGTGGAGCAGCCTCCCTGCCCCACCCACTCAACGCCAGGGACCACCCAGCGTGACAACCACAGATGTCCCCAGACGACGCTCAGGGAGGGGCTCAGGGAGGGGCAGCGACTTGCCCAAGGTCCCAGAGCCCA